CCCCAAAACCCCAAAACCCCAAAACCCCTTTCAATTAGAAAAATAATGAAACTTTGAATTTTTACTAAAACTTATTCTAAAATAGCAGAGTTGAGGAAGGCCTGTGTTACATCACAGTTTGTTTCACTGTCTTCATCCTCTACCTGATTCTTTGGTCCTGGCCCGAATGTCTCAGCAATTCAGAGCTCCTTGAATAAAGAGGTAGTCGGGATATTGAACTTGTCTCCATCATAAGTAAACCGAGGGAACCCGAAGGAAGTCTTGTCATAGGTTTCGAATCCTTGGATATTTTGGTAATATCCATTCATGAACTCTTCACCCTTAGGTCCCTGCCCCATCAAAATTGGGTCTATTCAGGTAGAATTATAGTTTTTATCCTCAATTGTTGGCTTAGTCAGAATGGAGAAGTCCTCCAGGTAATCCTTCTTGTATGGCCCTGCTGGCTTCAGCCCTTTGTTATAAGCAGTGATCCCATCTTCTTCGGGAGGTGGAAATTGGGATGTAGGAACTTCCCCCTTTAGTATCTTGAATGGGGCATTAGGAGACAAATCTGATGGAAACTCAGTTTTTATGTTCAAATTTCGTTCACTCAGTTTGTGCTGCCCACCTATCACATTCTTTGGCTTGGCTGGTTTTGAAGTTTCGTGCTTCTTAATGTGCATTTCAAACACTTTCTCTCTGAAGAAATAAGCATTGCAAACAATGCAGATGAAAGGAGGATCAACCCCGTGGTCTTCGACTAAATGAGCTTCAAGAGCGTTCTTCTTGGTAAATGTGGATAAGCACATGTTTCACTCAAGTTTCTCATGCACTGATTCTATGTGTCTTGCTAAGTGATAACTTTCAACATATCCAGGTGATGTGCAGCCTGGGTAGGGACACTTGTACTTTCGGGCAGCATCACCGCCATGGACTCAACTGTAATGTCTGGTTAAGTGATCCTTTCTCTTGAACTTCTTGTCTCATTGTTGGCATTCCCAAGGCCTCTATAAAATTATGAGTCAAAAGCTTACATCTTGAGAGTGCTTAGAGAGGTGTCTTTCGAGCACATTTTGGCTGCTGAATGGCTGCCCACAGAACTTGCAAACATAAGCAAGCGCTGTCTGTATATTGAGATACTGTTGACTTTGTGGGATGATACCGATCTGTTGAATCGGTACATCCTCATGCATTTCTGGAAATATATTAGGATCCATATCTTTCAATGTGGTCTGTGATTAAGGGGTTTTGGGGTTTTGGGGTTTTGGGG